GCGCACTTTAAAACCATTCCCGTTCTGTCTTGATCAAACTTTGGATATTACATTATCCGGTATCCCAATGAAATATGCATTGAAACCGCGGGGGAACGAGGGTTGAATCGAGTTTCGAGTTTCCCGGTGTCTTGTTTACCCTGCTAATTCCGTCGATTCGTGTTAAAATCATTTTGCCTTGTGGCCGTAGATGAACTGTTTTTTCCGAGAAAGCTGTTTCTTTCGGTATTTTACGCTTCGGAATGTTTGCCCTTCTTGGAGATTTCATTTCAATCGATTTATATTTTGGACCGAAATTTATTTGCGCTGCTGTTAAATCACCTGTAACCTTTGTACTGTGTAAGAGATTTAATATACAGGGTGATAGAAAAAAGGGTTCATAAGTTCTAGGGTAGATAGTATTCGTCCAATGATGATGTAATAAACATAGGTCGAACAATTAATGTTTCCAAGGTTACGAACAATTTTTTGTTTCGGGGGATCGCTAATGTAGGCGGTCCTGTTGCAACCTCGAAGCGAAAGAAACAAAACAATTCTATATGCTTGTTAAATTGATATCTTTTTCGTACGATACCAACACTATCAACACTTAGTTATATTTGTATAAGACACTTTTTGAAGATTATACATCTTCTAATTGTATTGAGCGGAGTATATTGCGAAGATAATACAATAAAGTGTAAAAAAAGTATTTTGTAAAATCACATGAAAATGTAATATCAACAGCTGAAAAGATAGTGAAGAAACAGCATCTTTTGAATAGCATCTACAAAGAACAGCTTCAATAATCTTATTCGTTTAAAATTTATTTTGTTTCATATCTATAGCATGAATAATAGCTATATAATAAATAATATAACGAATAAAACTGTGTAATAATAGCAGCTGTATAATTAAATTAAATTATATCGAGCATTTAATGCAATTTACATATTACTAAACTGTAGACTATGCGTTTATATCATACAAGACGTGTATAAATAAGGAACATTTAATCAAATAAAAAATACTTGCTCTGTCTTTCGTGTATCCAACTCCAACAGAAACGACTTTTGTAACTACTTTTTGTAAAGTTAGAACATGGTACCTCAGGTTCGGATGCGTTTCGACGGAGATGTTACGTGAGTTTCTTTGGGAATGTCGTCGGCAGGGCATTTTCGGTTAATAAAATTTCGTTTATCAGACGGTTCTCCAGCTTCCTTTTCTTTTGGTCGGATCTACACGGGGCCGGAAGAGTTCGAAACTTTCGCTGAAAAGACAGGCGCGTTCAATTACGAGGTACAAAGGGTTGGTCGATGTCGTCCGTTGTTCTTGTTCGGCCGTACGTTTGTTTGTCCCCGATGAGTCTGTCCGGGGCGGTTCTCCATTGTTCTTAAGGATTGGGTCTTTCGTAAGGATTAATGAGAGACTGGTTCTTGGTCCCTCGGACGTCCGTCCGATCGGGAATCTAGTTTAATAAGAACCCACTGTCTAAATCTTTAAGAGTTTACTCTAATTGATACGTGAGTTCTTATAGTTATCCAATCACTTCAATATTCGACAAGTTCTTGATTAGTAGTTTCAGTAGAATCGAAATAATGTATCGTCTTTATCTTCTATTTTTGACGTTCTGACGAGATTCGATGAACCATAGTTTTAGAATCAGATTCTAACAGTCACCGATGTTTAAATAAAATCATGTTGCTGTAGATTAATCTGCAATAGTCGAAATCGACGTATAATTGGTATTATCTTTGATAAAGTGTTGTAAATCGAGAGTGATACCGTTCCAATGGCTGCAGACTTAGCATTTGCTTATTCCGAGAAGAATTGCTGAGACTTCAAAAATTTTCGAAGAATGTTAAAGTCGATGAAACTTTGAATATTCTAGCAAGTCATTTAAACGTTTAGAACTTTGACATTTTTCTGGAGTCCTATTTATTTATCAGTTTCTTTTTAAAAATCGTTTGAGTTTTATTAACCCCAACTTTATATGAGAATTTGCTGTGTTTGATCAAATGTCACGACAAATATAATATGGTTGGGAGTCTAAAACGTTTAGCTGGCAATGAGACGAATCGATTTAAAGATTCGATTATTCGTCACTCCTTCGAATTCAATAACATTAAAGTCTTCGACACGCTCTGTCCTTACGTATAGTCTGACTTTTACACCTCTCCAAGTCTTTTACAACGGGCGCTTTACGTGCTCGCCCCGAAACTGTCGGCAGTGAGTGCTTTACTTAGTATCCTGTGTCTCGAGCACCCACAGTTTGCGCTCCGAGGAGTACGAAAACAGTGCACTTAGCTGAAGGAGAAGTCACACAGTAACATGTATATAGGGTGTGTTGTTAGTTGACAAATCTCCCGTTCCAGTCGTGTAATTACCATCAATTTCTAATTGTTTCTGAATGAAAGTAATTTCATGTTTTTGAAACGCGAATAATAATCTCTTACTGGATTAAATATTCAACTACATTCTCAAACCACATTTCCGTATTCTGTATTAATTTACACCGTTTTATTATTATAATTTTAGACAATTTTTAGTAATAGAATAGATTCACATTGTAACAAACATTACTCGTTGAATCTTCTTCGAGTATTGTACAAAAGGTTAGAAAGTATGCATGCTGTACATGTACATATTATCTTCAATAATCAATTACCTTATCTATTGATTTACTTATTCGTTTATAATATATTTTGTTTCATAGCTATAGTACGAATAATAGTTATATAATAAATAATATAACAAATAAAACTGCGTAATAATAGCAGCTGTATAAATAAATTAAATTGTATCGAGCATTCAATGCAATTTACATCTTATGTACTAAACTGTAGACTATGAGTTCATATCATGTAAGACTGTGCGTGTCACAATAAACAACTTCGATTAAAGTTCAATCCCGTTTTCATATTACCTGGAACAAACGAAACCCTTAATTGAAGAAAAATACTTTCACACCAGTTGTTAATGTATTTTTTTGTTATCTTGTTATACGATAATTGTAAATAAGTTAATAAGTATTAAAAACTTCACAATTACTGACAGTATTAGGTAAGTGTTTTCTGGTATAAATTATATGATATAACTTATATGATACTTACTCATGTGTTAATAAGATAATAAGTTGTTTATGTTTATTGTATATTAATTTCAGTGTTAATGCAGTATTAGAATATATTTTAAAAATGCATTAAAAAAATACCTAACATTGATGTTTTCGTAAAACAGTGCACAGTACATATTGAGAATTCGCATAAACGTCCGGTGCCTATTTATTACAAAATGGCGGCAGCATATTCGGTGCAGTCGCTCTCCTGTCATCCTCCTTCGTCCACGACCACAAACTCGATCACCGTAACAAGCGAACCACCCTGTACATGTTGCCTCGAGTGTGTGAGTATCTCTGCATGTTTATTCGTACACAGCCGCGTTACACGATCACCTGATCTCAAAGGTCGGCGTGTCTGCGGTTCAGCCGAAACCGAAATTACGGGGTTAATGGAAGTCTGGACGTGGCCACCCTCCTTCTAAGGAAACGGAAAACGGAGCTGGAAAGGTACTTTACCCCTCCTCGTTATTGTAGAAAAAGAGCAGCCCGCCCTTTGCCACGGGATCACCAGCTACCCTTCGTATCTTTTGGCCCGAGACCACCTTCATTTTCGGAACAAATACGCGCAATTATTTGTTACGCCGGTCTACGCCTCCTCTATTAGAGGTAAATTAGAAATCGCGGAGTATCGAGGCTGTTCTTAGGTATTTGGGACGGATCAGACTTCTTTTATATATTATTTATCAGCTGTCATCCGTAATCTGGAGTCTGTAATTTGTAATTTGCAATTTGCAATTTGTAATTTGCAATTTGTAATTTGTAATTTGTAATTTGTAATTTGTAATTTGTAATTTGTAATTTATAACGTGTAACCCGTAATCTGTAATCCGTAATCTGTAATCTGTAATCTGTAATCTGTAATCTGTAATCTGTAATCTGTAATCTGTAATCTGTAATCTGTAATCTGTAATCTATTTTCTATGTATTATGATGGAATAATTGTCAGTTAACTGTCAGCGAATTTGATGTATTCATAGAATTTGTAATCTGTAAAGTAGAAAAAGATGTGATTAAGGTTAATAAAGGTTTCATTTTACTTACCAGCGTAATGATATGTATCCTAGATAATATTGCCTATTTCGAAGTATGATAATATCCTTAACCGACAAATTACGTTCACTTTACATCTATGGAACCCTGTCATCGTGTTACAGGTACCTACAGAAATATTTGTTTCTGTGTTAGATAAAATAAATCCACAGGAAATAAAATGTTTAAAAGTCGGGTATTATTTTATGGGACATGGGACCAGAATAACTAAGCTTAATATTAAATTTCTGTTTCCATTATTAGCTTTTAAAATTGTGTACTTGTGGAACAGTCTTCTGTCTACTAATGTAGGCAAAGATTTGTAGTGTCAACAACAGGTGGCTTTGGAATAATATGTCTTCTTGTGACTTCCTTTTGCTTACGTCCTTAGTGAAGAGAAGGTTTCTCTAGTAGTCACTTGTACATACTTTAACATTATACCCAAAAGGCAAGGTTATCATTATCGAATAACTAGGATACGAAAAATGGTTGTTATCCATTCTGTAATTCTATTCACAAATTTCAATAAAACCTGTATAAGAAACAACAATGAATAAAAAAAAAACTATAGGGATATGCACTTTAATAATTTTTTTTATTTTCAAAGACAATTTGAAAGTTCCCTAAGCTATTTTCTCAAAAATTTTCAAACGATACACTTTGATATTCGTTGTCTACGGTATATCTGTTATGTTTACATCGTTACACTTTTCACTTTAGTTTCTTTACACAAATGAGAATACAGCAAAGATCTTCTTTTCACAATCACCAGTTCTATGTCTACCAAAATTTGTATGAAAATACTATTTTAATCAGACACTTCACTTGTTATTCCTAAGAGTCTTGATCCGAATATTGAAAATAGGTACTACTACGTAACAAGGATTTGTCTCAGAGAGTTTTCAGGCTTGATCTCAAACGAGGCGGTCGTGCCGTCGTTGAAAGGCAAAGAAATGCTTCCATCGATCACCAAACCAGCGTCGAACCCTGCCGATTTCACGGTCAACTTGTAGCACTTTTCCCTCTCCGAGCAGCAATTCCCCATTTTGCAACGCATCGTGCGAACCATCTCGCGTATCATGTACGTCATCTGTTTATCGTCTGAATGAGATTAAAAAAGGAGAACTATCATTTCACAAACTGTGTGTGTCCCGTTTACAATTTTTCCCAACGAAGCTATTCGAATTTTATATCGACGTCACTCCCCCCCTTAGCTATTCTGATTCTCGTCTGTAAGAATGCTGTACGAGACCAGCTACCTGGAGGGTACATGAGAGCTCGATGATATTTGTACAATAAATCGTTGGTTTCGTCCGGCTTCAATTTCTTGCCGGTGGCTATTTCGATGATATTGTGCACGGTATCGGCCGGCCGAAAGTTCATAGATTTGTACCATGAACGGGATCCCGATCCGGTGCAAACGCATATACCGGAAGACCGGACCTTATGCGTCTCGCCTGCGACTTGGATGACCAATGTTATTGGCCTCGCTGCCAAAAATTCTCCCATGAACACCTGAACGTTACGTGCGAGATATTGATTATTTTACAATTTATCGAACAGCTATTATATAATTAATAGATTGCAGTGAAACATTTATAGGATGGGAAACTTCACTTCGTTCAGTGCTAGCCAAGGCAAAATCCTGTCACGGGGCTGAAGAGCATCTGCTATTTTCTTTTGGGTCGATCGTATCAGAGCTCTGTGAAGTTCATAGTGAAATATAATTATTTACATTTGAAAATTTTAATGAATATTGTGACAGGATTGATATTATAGATTATAGACATGTATAATAAAAGGAAAACGAAGTATTTAAATACAGAAGGACATTAAAGAAAGGTAGACGGAAAAGAAATACAGAAAGATACTTGTAAAAATCTTGTGATAATACTTTTCCTTTTAACGTTACCTACTGTAAACCGAGTAAAACTATTTTTTTTAATATTTTAACACAAATATCATTAACCCGAATATGCCCACCGTTAGCGATTAGAAATATTAGAATGATACCGTATCAACACCATCGATTGTATCCCGAAAATTATATTATATTGAATAGTATCAAACATAATCGATACCAGTTTGATACTTCACGAATGTATCGATACCCGTTTGACACTTCTGTGAAACTATCGATACATAATTATTGGTACTTTTAAGTACATTCTTGGTATTTAATTTTTATTTCAGCATGTATGATATTGTTTTGGTACCGGTATCGAAAATTGACACCAAGTACTTAATAATACCTACTGATTATTATATATCGATAGGTTCACAGAAGTATCAAACGGGTATCATTACATTCATGAAGTATCAAACTGGTATCCATTGTGTTTGATAGCTAGATATTTGATACCATGGTATTCAATACGGTATCATAATTTGCGGGCTGAAATCGATAGTACTGATGTGGTATCATTCTGATCACTACCCACCGTCCTGCTATAAGGACACCTAGCAGGTGCCTGTATTTGATCGTTTTCCAAGTTGCACAGTTGTAGGATAGGTGGCACCGCTTGCTGAAACTTACTAAAAAGCACACTCAAAATTAAGTTGATTCCTTATAAAATATTGTAAAGGGTATTAAATAAAACAATGTTTCGAAGAAAAAAAGTGTAGCTACTTCAAGGAAACAAATTGTGGGCATATCAAGGTTAACGTAAAATGCAAAAATATGGATGCGTTTCAACGTCATAGGTAATCGACACGGTTTATTTCAAAATCCAACGATAAAATGTAAATAAAATAGTGTATTAATATAACTTTTTGAACAAAATGAACCTAAAAATATTTTCCCGGAGCGAATGATTGAAGCAATTATAGAAATCGTAACGAACGGACGTTAATTGTGAAACGTATCTTTGCAGCAATCTTTTAATTCTGTTTTTCTTCCCATGTATTACGATTCATCGTAAGAATCTCGTTTTACTCAATCCAGGAGCTATGACTTTTTTATCAGTGACTCGTAACTGCGCGACTATTGTGATTTACAAGTTATAACTGCCGAAGTTCTAATGCGCTATAACTTGAAACTGCTTGGCGGAGAATGAGGAACGGCCGCGAAATGAAGATGTATCGTGGTCTTTATGAAAACATAGAATCGGTGATTCGCGTGGATAACTTGAAACTCGAGAGAATAGATTGCAGCGGGAAAGAACTCTGGTAAACGAGTCGTCCCGAGGAAGATGCTTTGTTGTTTGTCCTTCATTATCTTTACGAACTGAATTTCACGAGGGCTGACTTGAAGGGTGCAAACTTTGTACTTTCAATATAAACAACAGCATCAAGAATGAATTTAAGAAAATAAGAAAATATGCTTTTCTTGCATTATTTTAGAACGTATAACGGTCCATTCATATTGTTTACTGTTATTATGGTCGTTATATGTACTTCGTATGATTTGGAATGTTACTTAAGGCGACAGTGAAAGTATTAGACTTCTTGTATCTTTCTCTCTTGTCTATCTTTCTGTGAAATTTCAAAGCTATCTGTTTTAAAGTAGTCTGTAAGTTATACATTTTTACAGTTGATTTCAACAGTTGATACAGTTCACAGGCGAACGCAAAGAAAGGTAGGGTAAATGTCCCAGTTACTGTCAGTGTCCCTAATAATACCACTTTATTTATTTTACTTAATAAAAATGTTACGTATAAAGAATTGTGAACAAAAAATTTTATTATTAAATTGGGACCTCGATGTCTATAAAAACATGGAAATACACGTACTTGTATGTATGTACCTGGTATGTGAAACTTAATATTGAAAAATGAAAGTGCAATTTGAATGTTAAAAACTGCGATTACGTAAGTAAAAAGTGACGGCGAAATCACACTAAAGAACGAGCTGTAATTTTGCTATTCAACCTACAGTATAGGGATATTACACACAATGAATCGTTAAAGTGTATGAGAATTACATTAATTTTTGAGGTGACAGTTATAGGGTTACTGGCATTAGTAGCAGATTTTAATTAATTATTAATTAATTCTTCATATTTAATGTATGAAACTGTTTTTTTAAATGAAAGAAACGTTAAATAATATTATGTTCGTAACAGAGATGATTTGTAGGTTAAACAACGTGTAAAATGATTAAATTAGATACGCGACTCGTCGTTTCCTCCACGTAGTCATCGGTCTATCGCGGTGCGTCGCGGAATAAAAATGCGCATATTGATTTCTGTATAGGGGAAGAACAAGCTTAGATATCAGAGAGGATAACTTTTCAATAATGCAACCCACTCGACTCGTCTCTCTCCTTGACTACGGCTCTTCTCGTGTATGTGAAAGGGCCGTGTGTAAAGTCCCTCTCCATTCATTACCGTTCGTATGCGACTCCGCATCAATAACGTGTAGTCCCCTGAATGGAGTTTTTCAAATATGCTCCCGATATCCGCGGTGTACGCCGACGGGAGCGTGAAAACGTTACTTTCGCTCGAGACATTCGGATTGATACCGAATACCGGCTTTGTGTTGTCGCTGATCAACTTGGATGCGAGCAGGAAAATCACCAGGTCCGCCCAATCCACGCATTTGGACGCCTCGGCGATGCTGGAACAATTGAATGGGAACACGTCGTCGCAGGTGCGAAAGTGTGACACAAAACTGAAGGCATTCTTCGCCTGTTTTTCGATGAATTTTATGCCAAATGACACCTTTACATAGAAACGTTGATCGCAACAAATTTTCAAGTTGGCAAACAATTAGTTTCTGAGATATGGAAGGTCAAAGATGTTAAAATTCGTTAACGCGTCAACACATACGCTTCGATGTTCGGACATTTATGTTAGTCCGATAATTTAAAAAATTGTTCCCACGGGGTTTTGCTGGCTGCTAATAACGAATTTGAACTTAGATTTTCAAAATTCACAATTGCCGATTCAATATGGTCGACGATGTACAGTAAATCATCGATGATTGTTCGAAGCCCATGGCTTTGAGTGTTCAGACGTTATCCCCACCACTGGGCGTTTGACTGGGGCGTTCCATTGGGGACCCCCCCCCCCCATAGACACTCAGTACCGAGAAGCCTTCGAATACTCATCAATGATTTATTGTATTAAAAAAACACCTACTACATCGATATTTATTTTTCTTGATTTTGATTTTTGGAAAAAACTATTTCAATTAAAAAAAAATATTTTTTAAGCATCTATTTTGCAATTGTTTTAAATAAGTGCCTTGTTTTTATACTGGGGAATTATTTAAAAATTTGAAAAAAAATGAGGATATAGCCCTATTTGTCGTCTTTATGGACATATGTTCAAAAATATTGAAACTTTAAAATCTGCCGTAGGAAAATAATTGAAGTGAATGCTGCATCGAATTACACCGGCGCTACCGGTCAAACCGTGTGGTGCTAGGTTATCCGGTACGGCTCGGCCGTTCGAGTCGGTAGGCTTCGACGCAGCGTTAACTTCAATCAATTTTCACATGGCCAATTTTAAAGTCTCCACATTTTCTAAAAATTTGTCCATGAAGAAGACAAATAGGACTACATTCTTAATTTTTTTTCAAATTTTTAAATATTTCCCCGGTATAAAAACAGAACATTGATTTGAAACAAGTCCAAAATAAATGGTCAAAAAGTATCTTATTTTTACTGAAATAATTTTTATTTGGTACTCTTATGTCTCCACTGTAAGTACCCGCGAAGCTCATTTCGATCAGTTTGTTAGTTCAATAGTTATGACTTATTGAAAAAAGGTTGCCTCTTAATTTCAAACAGCTGTAAAACCAACAATTTAAAAAATTTTCAATAATCCTTCGAGATACGTTTGTATGTCGTTGAAGACTACAAAATATCCACATTTGAACAAAATCCGAAATGGTGCTCCAAAAAGTGTCCGATTTTGCATGGAATGACCCCTTTGTAAGGTGTATACTTCTGAATTTCCCTGTATATAAAGTCTACAGTCTTCGATACTAAACTAAGGGAATGTTATAAACAAGAACAACGGAAGAAAAATGTAACATTTGGATTACAGCAATGTTCATTGACCAGATTCCATCAACTCGAATCGTTTCTACGACGCTCGTAAATCACAGCCACGGTTCGAGTGGTTTGAAGTTTGAAACATTTCATTTACCCGTTTAAAAAGTTTACAGCCATTCGAGTTTGCTTCTGAAACGTTTTATCAAACTATCCTTACGAAAAGTTTGAATGCCTGACCAAGATCAGACTTGGCTTAGAGTATTGAAACTCTTCGTACTCATAAAAGATCAAACACGTTTCGAAGCATATTTGTATGCGGACCTACCAGTGCTTACAGGTCAACATAGATGAATAGTATTTTTTTAACACGTTAACTACTGTGAGGGTCATCGGTAGCCAAACGAAGCCGAAATGATTATAATGACAACAGTTGCCTCAAAAATATGCAATAATAATTTAAACCTTTCAATATTAATAATATCATAATGTAAATTAGTTTATTATTGTTAATAGCCAGAAACCTGTTAATAAATTGTTACTTCTCCGAGTTAAATTATAATTATGAACCAATAAAGCAATCCCGTTGATATAATTGCATTTTCATTAATATGATTGTTTCCAGCCACTTCAATGTGTTTGTGTAACACGTAAATTATAGTGAGATTTCAAACGTTCGGTAAACAGTGTATGTAATATATTTTATTGTTCTACCTTTTTGTAATGCGAAAAGTGATGCCGAGTTTTTTGAGAACCGCCGACAGATTTTCCTCGCAAGCGATTTGTAATCGATGTTCGGTAAGAATCTCGTGCGGATCTTTCCCCTGTTCTTTCATCTTCGTCAATATTTGTTCCTCGTTCAGACTGCGGTGTTGAAATTTAAAAAACTCCAACGAGGATAGTTTCGAAACGCAGAGCACTCTTTTGGGCCGATAAGACGCACTGTTCAGGCAGGCGAAGAGTTTCATGATGTATCGTTTCGATTTGTTTTCGATTTAGGTTATAATTGATGCTAATGAACTAGTCAAGCGTGGATGTGCAACGCAATCGTTTTCTGATTAAAATTAATTAAACAATGTAATTGGTGTGACTCATATCATAGTACTAAATATCGAATCTAAAGATTGTTCGTTCGACATTGCTTTTCCAGGAAATATTCGATACATCGTTTATTTGGATAGCAGCCATTCTTGTATTTACTTCGATTAATTATTAATACATTTATTCTAGTACCGCGTAAAATGTCAATATGAATACATTTGTCATTTGTATTATAATCGTTTCGTTGCTCGCGAGATACCGTTCTAACCGGTTCTGTTCTTGAAAAATGATGGTGGATTTGGTATGAAACGATTTATAATTGTTGTTAATATAATTTTACAAAATATAGTATAAATTATTCTATGTTGCAAAAGACTACCGTAAATTAGCCAGTTAATCAATACAGTGAGTGTACAAATGAAAGTAAGGTAATTGGTTATATTATTTGAACTGTTCCATTAATATGTACCCATGTATTAAATTTAATCTTTTAATAATTTCGATGTTCTGTTAAGTAAAGTGAAGAGTACATATATGATTACCAGTAGACAACATTGTTCGATTTTGATACCCATGTTAGATATTATAATATTTAAATAATTTTTTATCAAATTGTTCTTTCGCAAATTATTACATTTGTATATTGAACACCATTTTCCATAAAGTTCTGTATAATCCTTTCATTCCCAAATTATTTAACGATTACGAGAAAAGTATTTTTTGTATCTTTGTTTATATTACATGACATATAAACCATTCAAAAAACTTTCTTTACTTTTATCACAGTTAATATATAATAATTTACACTATAAACTTATTATACATAATAAAACCAATTGTGCTTATTTTCGACCAGTATATCCTTTTGGAATATTTGAAAGAAATTAAAACTTTACAAGTTCTTATTGTATCGTTAACAACGCCTCAACACTTGAATTCCAGCAAATGAAATGCCAGGTACTGTTACGGACCCTGATCACTTAAACGTAACTATAGCAGTTTTTTAACGTATAAGTAGAAAAATTAACCAAATGCAAAAGAATTGTAGTTATTCCAGTAAATGTTTTATCTTCAATTTGATCTTAACAAAAGTTCAAAAATAATAATAATTAAATCATAATTTAACTGTTAAAGTAAGAAATGCAAAAGGAACCATTCTTGAGCACCTGAATCATATATCTGTATCTCACTCTGGGCTATTAAATTATTCCTACAAATTTCAAACTAATTAATAACTATTTAGCAATTTTTTGGAAAAAAGTCTTACCATAACAAACTTATCATATGGTATTTATACAGGCTGTAACAAAAGTGTTGTAGGTCCCTGGAATGGGTCAGCCGTGAGGTGATTTGGAACAAGTTTTTCCTTAGGAAAACTGTTATTCGAGGCTTTGTTAACGAGATATTAACGAAAAACCCCGATCAAACAATATTCGGCCGGCAAACTGGGCTATTAAATTATTCGTATAAATTTCAAATTAATTAGTAACTATTTAGCAATTTTTTGGAAAAAAGTCTTACCATAATAAACTTATCATATGATATCTATACAGGCTGTAACAAAAGTGTTGTAGGTCCCTGGAATGGGTCAGCCGTGAGGTGATTTGGAACAAGTTTTTCCTTAGGAAAACTGTTATTCGAGGCTTTGTTAACGAGATATTAACGAAAAACCCCGATCAATCAATATTCGGCCGGCAAACTGGGCTATCAAATTATTCCTATAAATTTCAAACTAATTAATAACTATTTAGCAATTTTTTGGAAAAAAGTCTTACCATAATAAACTTATCATATGATATCTATATAGGGTGTAACAAAAGTGTTGTAGGTCCCTGTAATGGGTCAGCCGTGAGGTGATTTGGAACAAGTTTTTCCTTAGGAAAACTGTTATCCGAGGCTTTCTTAACGAGATATTAACGAAAAACCCCGACCAATCAATTAATATCTCGTTAATATCTCGTTAACAAAGCCACGGATAACATTCTTGCTAAGGAAAAACTTGTTCCAAATCACTCCACGACTGATCCATTTCAGGAACCTACAACACTTTCGTTACACCCTGTATATTAAACTGATCAGGAATTGGGTTCCGATCAGCAACTAAGTCCAAAACAGTGTACGTGCATTAAAAAATATTGTATTTCTTACTTTATAATACGTAGCCATATGGCTACGATAGGTGCGAAAGGGTTAACGAACTTCGAAGACCCTTCCAACGCGACACAATTTTCCTCCTCGCATGGAGTTCATTCCTTACTCGAAATCTGCACAAATCGCGTCTCTGCGGATTCGCAACATCGAACGCAGCTTCAACTTCCCGACGAGCTGTGAATATATTTCGTACGCTGACTCGAACGCCCATGCGGGAGA